AGCATGGAGGTCTTCTAGACCACCCCCAGCTCAAGTAGGAGTTCCTATCCATTGCTTCTTCTCCTGCCTTCGGGGTCTTTCCAAATCCTAGAACCTCCCAATGCTGGGAGTTGAAGCCCACCCCTCTTGAAGTCCCCAAGGGTGAGAGACCCTGCCGTAGAACGAGAGAAGAAATCTAGAATCCAGAGCAGTGGTGGCTAACTTTTTGGGGCTCCTGTGCCAAAAACTGTACCTAGAAGGGATGAAACGAGCCCATTTTTCGGCCTGCAGAGGCTGCAGAGGCTTTTGTCAAACCTCTGGGAGGCTGAAAATCAGCCATAATCCATAATCCCCCTTCCAAAATCCATAATCCCGCTTCCAAAACTGGCTGCCCTGCAATGGAGTCGCCTTTCTCTCCCGTGGCTGGGCCCATCCCACTTCTCGGCAGGCGGCAAGGCAGCAGACCGGGCTGGCTCCAAGGACGTGTTTGGGGAAGCCAAGCGCCCAGGAGGTGGAGCATCTAGACGGGCTCAGCTGGCCAGCAGCGGCATGGGTGGGATTTCTCTTCCAGAGAGCCTCCGTCTCTAAGCGAGGCTCTTCGCTTCGGCGTTTGCATCCCACAGCCCAGCTAAAAGCCAACTTCAGGGTTCGTGTCTCTAAAGGACACGCTTGGCTTGCTGGCACACGCCCCACAGTCAGTAGTGTTTTTATAAACACACACACACACTCACAAACACAGCCTTGCCTTGTGACCTCAGGCTGGCTGAGCATGCTCTGGAATCAAAATCCCAAAAACATCTAAAAGTTTCTCTCTCTCCTCTCTCTCTCTCTCTCTCTCTTTCCCTCCTTCTCTCTCTCTCTACTTCTCTTTCTCTCTCTCTCTCCCTCCCTCCCTCCCTCTCTCTCTCTCTATATATATATATAAAGCACAACTATAATGACGTGGGAAAATACCCGAACAAAGCTGAATACTATACATGCAAGTACCCGTGAAAACTTAAGAAAACATATATACATATACATATATATACATACACACACATATAGATACACATATACATACACATATACTGTGTATACCTATATACATACGTACATATATGAGAGAGTTTGTATACACTCTCTCTCTTTCTCTCTCCTCTCCTTCTCTTTTTCCCTTTCTCTCCATCTTTCTCTATCTCCATCTCTCTGTCCCTCCCTCCCTCTTTCTCTTTCCCTTTCTCTCTCCATCTGTCTCTCTTTACACACACACACACACACACACACACACACACACACACACACAGAGTATGTACAATATATACTAGATAGAAGATACAAATGATGATAGATAATAGTTAAATCATAGAGAGACAGATAGAGAGAGATAGGCAGACAGAGATTAGGTATATAGATATGTGAAAACTAGATGTAAATATAGATGACATCTATCTATCCATCCATTCATCCATCTTCTATCCATCTATCCATCCATCTATCCATCCATCCATCTTCTATCCATCTATCCATCCATCCATCCATCTTCTATCCATCTATGCATCCACCTATCCATCCATCCATCTTCTATCCATCTATCCATCTATCCATCCATCCATCCATCTTCTATCCATCTATCCATCCATCTATCCATCCATCCATCCATCCATCTTCTAGCTATCTATCCATCCATCTATCTATCCATCCATCCATCTTCTATCCATCCATCCATCTTCTATCCATTCATCTATCTCTCTATCCACCCACCCACCCGCCCTCCCTTGACCCCTCCCTCCAGTCCTCCTTCCTCGCTTATCAGGTTCCACGTGTGGGGAAGCCCACGCCAGGCCACGCTCGAGATCTGGGGGAAGCCTTACATGCCAGCATGTCGCGCGAGCACACACATCCACCCAGTGGCAGGCGGGAGCTGGAGGAGGCCCCGGGGCGCTGGGGTACCATACCTGGCCGGCGGCCGCCACGGCAGTCACGAGCTCCGGCTGAGGCAGCAAGAGGAGAGAAGAGAAGAGAAGAGAAGAGAAGAGAAGAGAGAGAGGTGAGCAGAGGGGAAGGCCAAGGTGCAGAAGAGAGAGAGAGAGACCCAAGGGGGACCTTTGGCCGGCCGCTGCAGAGGCCAAGCAGGCGGTCCCAGCCTTTTACGGTGTGAGTAAAAGGACGCAGGAGGAGGGGGAGGAGGAGGAGAGGGGGGGGATTCCTGGGAGTGGAAGCCCACCCAGGTTAAAGTAGCCACAGTTGAAAAACATCGATGTGATTCTTGACTCTTGACGAAGGTCTCTTCTCTTTTACGTACGTGAGAGTATTCACACCAAGACAAATTCCTTGTGGGTCCAATCACACAAGGAATTCTATTCTATTCCTTATTCTATTCTATTCTATTCTATTCTATTTTGTTTTCTATTCTATTTCATTTTCTATTCTATTTCGTTTTCTATTCTATTCTATTCTATTTTTTATTCTACTCTTATTCTATTCTATATTCTATTCTATTGTATTCTATTCTAATTTCTATTCTGTTCTAATTTCTATTCTATCCTATTCTTATTGTACCCTATGGCTATTACTAAATGTTGTACCTTATGATTCTTGACCCTTGACAAGTGTCTCTTCTCTTTTATGTACCCTGAGAGCATTTGCACCAAGACAAA